TAACATTATAGTATGTCAGATTTTCTGACCTCCGACTTGGATGATTGAAAATAGATCAACATACTCATATTATGTTAACTTTCATAATATAATATAGTGAGTATTATAATATAATAATAGAAATACCATAATAATAGTTTATAATAGAACAATAGACTTTTGTTAATTATACCCGCGGGCTTATATATACAGTTATAGCATTTAACTTATCTTATATTCTAGTATAATATAATATACAATAACGTACAATGTAATATACAATTATTTATAATATTTTTTATATATACTAATAATAATATGTACCTATAAAAAAATAGTCGAATTGACGAATTGAGAACCTCCTTCTTTTTGAAGTCGGTTGAAAATAGTTATTGTGAGTGTACCTTAGGAGAAAAACACATGCTATCGAAAACTTTTTTATGGGCCTTTTTAAGACCTAAATTTTTTTAGTACATTGTTTTGATGTGTCTCTAAAGGTTTACCCAGCGTTAGAAAACGGTTTTTTTTACAAAACAACATGTAGGTTCCACTATTTCGGGCAAAATATTTACAAATTATATACACAAACCTTGCTTGTTTATCGCTCTTTCTATTAGTGAAAATCATATCAAAATCCGTTGCGTAGCTTAAAGAAGTAAGCTGAAAAACAGACCGCCGAGGACAGTGACAGAAGAACAATACTTTTTTGCACTCGTGAGATTTATTTAGCTTGCCCTGTTTGTTTAGGTCAAATTTGGTTATTGAAATTTACCCCTTTCCTGTTGACAGATTGATCTGATTATAATAAAAACCACCAGTGTTTGGAGTATGGGAGAGATTAAAACCAACTTCAATAGAATTATTTACATCAGTTTAATAATGAGTAAAATATAATAATCTTAGGCGGCCGTTTAGAATTGGGGACTTGGCCCCTAGCGGAGTGGGTGGTATTTCTGGATAAGGGACGTGATAGGGAGTCGAAATGTTAAATAAATTTTTTAATACAACAAAAGAGTCAAAAGTTATTGAGACTTAAAGTTATAACATTTCCATACATTATTTTGACATTACTACCATTTAGACACTTGGAGTCAAAACGTCACTTTCAATTGTCAAAATGATCTCCAGATGATTGTCTTTATTTGTACTTTGCGTGAAATTCGAATTTTCTAGTTTTCTAGTCATTTATGGCACTCGCCGGCCGCTACCGCGGCAAGCTCGCTTCGCTCGCTCGGCTCGTGCGTTGTGGCAACTGTTCTAACCTAACCTAACCAAGATATGACGAATAATTAATAAATAATCTTAAATGTTCTAACCTAACCTAACCCAGATATGAGGAATAATAAATAAATAATCTTAAATGTTCTAACCTAACCTAACCCAGATATGACGAATAATAAATAAATAATTAAAAATATTCACAGATAAAAAAATGATTTTTTTTACTAAACGTACAATTGTAAAACAATATATTTTACATAAATCAAATAAAAAGTTATAAATGTATTTATAAAGTGAAAATAATATTTTTCTTTTTATTTATTTATTTATTAATATTAATATTTTACCAACAGAAAAAGCAAAAATAATCAAATATAATCTGTTGTCATTTAAGCGGTAATATAAAACAAAGTGTCAGTTTTGCTTTTGTCAAAATGTAAGATCATTTTGTTTGTGTTGTGAAATTATTAAAATATTAAATACAATAAAGCATTAATTGTTGTGAAAATGTGTAATGTACATAAAAAAGGATGCGTACTATTCGTTAAAGGTATGTTTATCTGTTGTAATCACTTATTTAGGTAAAGAAATGTATGGAAATGTGTTAGATATGTTATAACTTTAAGTCTCAATAACTTTTTAGTCGTACGTTTCCTCCAAATATTTTTAATATATTTTGACTCTCTGTCACCTCCCCTATCTAAAAATACCACCCACTCCGAATGGTGGTAAAGAAATATATGAAAATGTATGGAAATGTTGTAACTTTAAGTCTCAATAACTTTTGAATCTTTTGTTGTATTAAAAAATTTATTTAACATTTCGACTCCCTATCACGTCCCTTATCCAGAAATACCACCCACTCCGCTAGGGGCCAAGTCCCCAATTCTGAATTTGTGCCTAATCGGCGGCCGTTTACACAACACTATTTCAGCATAAGTTGACAGTAACTTCTTGAACTAGAATGAATCCCAATCATAAAAAGCACTCCTTATATGATTATTTTAATTTCAGTCAACCCACCTTTTTAATACTTTTAATGTAACTTCAACTACATATTTAATTTATAAAAGCATACTTAAAACATAAATATAAAATAAAAAAAAAACATTGATTTTTCAGTTAATTACAATAAATATAGGTTACTTTGAATATATCTAACAATTTTAGCATTAAAATTAATGAATCACAACATAATATTTGGTATACACCTTTAGTTCTGATGAAAATATAATTGAATATATCCCTTATCATTGTAAATCCAAGATGGCCGCCGCCACAATATGGCCGATTACATATTTTTTCACTACCCCTGAATATGGGTATCAAATGATAGGGCTTGACTAGTAGGATACAGTATATTGTGAAAAAAATCCAAGTCCAATAGGGCCGCCAACAAAAGGGCCCATTAAATATTTTTTCATGGCAAATGTCAATAACATAAAGTTATCTTTTCGGATTTTTTCGCGGGTTTATTTAGATTTCCCGATTTTATTGGTTCCCGACATTTCGAATGTAAAGCGCAATTATGGTCACGGGAGAAACTACCTAAAAATCTAAATAAATGCGCTAAAAATCAAAAAAGATAGTTTTATTTAAAATCTCAAATATTCGCGTAAATCTTAGAAAGATCAATCGCTATGTTATAGAATCATTATATTTATGTCATTCTTATATTATTTTTTAAAATTTCTGTTCTTCAACAATGGTAGAATGATATCTCGTGATTTTTAGTTCCTCGGCGATAATTTGAGTGAATACAATTGGATTTGACACTTTTTGGCAAACTAAAAGTGCTTAGAAACGTTGGTAAAGACGAATAGACGAATCAATATACTAAGTTAGCACATTATACTAATCTAAATACTATACCTACTGAAGCGTGTTCCGTAACGTGACGATGCATGCAATCAATGCAAGCGTAAGCCCTACACCTGCGATAAAACGTTCGTATATACATTAGTATACATATCCATACATATAATAAAATTGTAACTAAGCCGAATCTGTACATATTTTTTGGAAAATCTTATTGAAATAGACAATATTATCGATACAGAGGCCGAATCTATAGGTTTTAGAATTTTTGTCTGTCTGTCTGTCTATCTGTTACCGCATCACGCAAAAACCACTGGAGGGATTTTGACGAAATTTGGTATGATGATAGCTGTTTATCCGGGTCAACATATAGGATACTTTTTACAGCGGGAAAATATCCCATTTCTGAGAAATCGATAAGCGTAAAAACGTAACTAGGGACGAACCCCAGCGAAGCGAGGTTGAGTCGCTAGTTACATATGTATATAATACTCACAAGTAATAAATATGCCAGCTACATTCAAATACAGAGGTTATTTTATATACATAATTACATTAAATATCAGCCCATATATTAATATAATTATGTTATTATAAATGCGAATGTTTGTATGTATGTGTGTGTATGTATATTAAAATATATTTGTTAGTCTTTCACGCTGAAATGTTTGGACAGATTTGAATAAATAAATATAAATATGTTGGGACATTAACACACACAGCATCATCTAGTTCCATGGTAAGCTTTGAGGCTTGTGTTATGGACACCAGATAGTTGATACACTACAGATTTGTATATAGCTTTAAATACATACATATTATAAATATAACCACCCATGAATGGAATACAAGCATTCGTGCTCGTTACACAAATGACTACCCCTAGCGGGACTCGAACCCGCGACCGCTGGTACAGCAAGTAGTCACTACTAACTGAGCCAATCTTGTTGTCAGAATGAAATTTAGTGCACAGATAGACTATTTTTTTAACGTTGGGAAATGTATTAACGTATACCACCTGCATACGAACAGGTGGTGATGTGGATTCACCGTCTAGAAAAACCATAATTATCGTTAAAAACCCAATGGAACCTCTCCCGTCTCAATGGGACGCCGCAGGATATCTGTTAGGACTGCCGAAGTAGACCACAACAACCAAGAGGTTGCTCCCGTAGTCCACTCTGCTATAAGAGAAGAACGAGTACCAGGAGCCACCCGCATGGTACACCACCCACCGAGGTGGGGCACCTTCCAGTGTGAATCTTGGCTTCATGGTCAGCTAGATTGCCGGACGCTAATAAACATCATAAAATTTGAAAATTATAAAATTTAGACCTTCGTCTTTTTTATCGTTATTTGGGTATTCCGTTTAAATAGGCTCAAAATAGGACAGTTATTTTTAAAAGCCCTTTAACAGGTACAATGAATTCGCCGCCGTTTCTGCGAAATTATTGAGGCAAAAAATTTGAAAAACCTGCGTCTTTCATATTATATAAATATAACAAAAAAAAATGAAGCGTAACTTATGTTCGTATAATTTTTTACGACTTTGTCTGTATGTTAATACTTACAATATACTCGTAGATAGTGTGTCAAAACTTGATTGAAGATACTTCGAGTAGTTTTTGGGTTACGTCTATTTTCCGTTTATTGTGCTGTTTTTTGAAACTTTGTTTCTCATTGTAATATATGAAGTACAGTCTTCTGTATGCCGTCACTAAATTTAATATTGTATTGTAGATATATTTCATTTTACGAGAAAATTCTTCCCATTAATATTATAAATGCGAAAGTTTGGATGGATGGATGTTTGTTACTCCATCACGCTAGAACGCCTGAACGAAATTTGACACAAAGATAGATATAGACTGGAATAGCACTATCACATAATTTTTATCCCGGAAAATGTACGGTTCCCGTGGGATAGATTTGTTTTTGTTTTTAATAACCAAGAAAAGCATTAATAAAATTATTATTTATAGGAGATCCACGACCCAGCCTCATTTGGTATCTTGAGAATACCATTATCGACGATTCCTACGAGCAAAGAAATGACGGTATCACCATCAACGCTCTCACGTTTCCAAGCATCGGACGACAGCATCTGAACGCCAGGCTCATTTGTCAAGCATCTAATACAAAATTGGCCCCCCCGCAAACTAAACTACTTATATTAGATATAAATCGTAAGTAAAAAATACTTTGTCAAATAAAATATTATACAGCTTCAAAATTAATTCAGAACAAATTTTCCATCTTTAGAAGTGGACATTTTTGGACCTATTCTTAAAAAATGATGCCAATAGATCCACATTTATTCGAGACATCGAGTTTATTTAATCACAGAAAAAATAGTGATAATCTGGGTATCCATCTTTTTTTTTTGAAGTTTTATTTCTCTTAAAAGTACGTTTTTTATACATAATATATGTGTATATTCAGTATTGAGTATACAATTGTCTGATGGAATGGCTGAATAGAGTTGTTTATAATTATATTTTAAAAGCATTTACCTGCTTTTACTTCGCTTAGTTAAATATAGAGCCTACCTGTATCATCGATACTAATTCTTGTCGCACTGCGCGCTTGCTAGATACGTCCATCTAAATTAGAGTATGTATCCAGTATCATTAATTCTAATTATATTATCATTCAATTGTTGAGTTAACAGTGGAAAAGTAACAAACAAACTCTCTTATGATGTTTTTTTAGCTGCTTAACTAGATTTTTACTTCAAAAACTTACAACATGGTAACACTCGTAGGTATTTCTCCTTATAACACGTGCTTTAATTTAAAGCAGAAATCATAATATAAATAAGTTAAATCCAAACCACGCTAAATGCAAATACTAGACACGAACAAACTGAATATATGATATTTAAATTTAAGTACATTATATAAGGATGTATCATATAATATGCATATATACAGTTAAATGTGTCAGTTAAATACGAACATATTATGTGCATTTACATAGTAAACTATGGTCTACAGATAAATCGTATTGTGGACTAGCGAATTACCCTCGCTTCATAGGTTTTATTTTTTTGCGCGGAACCCTCATTCTTTTTGTAAGATAAAAGTAGCCTAAGTTACTCCTTAAAACATAAGCTATCTAAAGTCCAGTCAAAATCGGTCCAGCTGTTTCGAAGATTAGCCGGAACAAACAGACAGACAGACAAAAATTGTGGTTTTTCTTTATGTACTTTCATATGCATTTAGTAAAAAGTTGTTATTTTGACATTACAAACGGACACTTCAATTATATTTATCTGTATTTAATGTGTCAGTTAAATACTAACATATGTGCATTTACATAGTAAACTATGCTTTAGACATAAATCGTATTGTGAACATCGGTTTAATTACCACTTTCTACAGAAACTAGACAATGTATGTAATATAGAGTGTCAATATATTATATTAGTAGATTGTCTCAAATTATTGTTTAGATAGTGCAATTATGTTATACCATGTACATCTATACTAATATTATCAAGAGGTAAAGTTTGTGAGTTTGTGAGATTGTGAGTTTGTGAATTTGTGACGTTGTAAGGGGTAATCTCTGGATCTACTTAACCGATTTAGATGAAATTTGGTAAGAAGATAGTTTGAGACCCTGGAAAGGACATAGGATACTTTTTGTCTCAGAAATCATCCCTTAAGGGGGTGAAAGTGGGGATGAAAGTTTGTATGGGGAATCAAGCTATATAGTTATAACTAATTAAATATTATTGATTGGTTTATGTTATTTGAAAATTTATAAAAACCATTATAGGTCACGAAAAATCATTCGTTTGTTTGTATATCGGTCGTACACTTGAATTTATTGTGTACGTTATATGATATCGTTGTTTAAATGGACCAGTCCTAACGATGCGAAATTCATGATAAAGAAATCTTTTTAAATTGCTTTGAAATTGATTTGTGTTTTTGTTCAAGGTTATTATTTTGTATTCAGTCCTTTTTTTGACGCCCCATTGCGGGGCACAGACCTTTCTTTACTAGTCGGACAAGTGCTGATTGGCGGACTTTACATGTCTTTCGAAAACTTGGGTTCTCACAGACATGCAGGTTTCCTTCACCGTAAGACAAGTGGCAATCATGTTGGATATGATTCGCACATGAACATAACAGAAGTACGAGGCTAGGGATTTGAACCCACTTCACTTGGTCTTCTAAACCAGGGCGTTAACACTGGGCTACCACCTCCACTGCTTTCCTGCCTTATTATTTAACGAACAAATATTTAAGTGCAACATCTACTTACACAATTATAAAAATACATATGAAACTTAAGCCAGTTTGTTACAGTAAGGCCACTAACTGTCCAGATTTTGAACAAAAATAGGCAGTTCTCAGCAGACAGGAGTTATGAGGTGGAATGTAAGACTACAGGGTCTAGACCTGAAGCTCAAGTCACTTGGTGGAAAGGACTAAAACCTTTAAGGAAGAAAGCTAGAAATGTGAGTATTAAAACTAAAATTATATATAAATAAGATGTTAATACTACTATTTTGCTAAGATATTTCATTTAAAATTGGTTTTTTACTTTTGTCCCTTTTTAAGCAATACGATATCAACAGATTCACATAGAATTTAGTTCGTATTTTTGACCAACTTGAAACAAAACTTGTCTCTATTTTTATGTGGTTTTGTTACGCGATATCTTCATCAATAGTGAATTAGTTGTCATAATTATTTTTTTTATATAGCCTAGTGAGCGAAATTTGATCATATATTATCATAAGAAAACATATCATAATATCTTGAATTTACCGCTGTATTTAAAAAAAAAATCTATATGTATTTTCAATTTTTTGTTTTATTGATAAAACTTTTATGTTCTCATCAATACTAAACAAGAAAACGAAATCGGTTCACAAGCAGAAGACAAAAGGGTACTGAACTGTATGTAGATACCTCAATGATCTTATATAAACCTGTAACGATTTCTATCTATACATATAACAAAACTGTAGAGCTCGAATGTCTGTACTTAGCAAAAAATGCTAAAAACCGAGTCAGGGGGATGTAAGAAGAGAAATTGAACAAATCCAGTTTTTTTTAAATTGTTTCTCAGTCTGTTTGTCTGTTTGTACGGACTAATCTCCAAAACTGTTGGATTGATTTAAATGAAATTTTGCATAGTAGTGTCTTATATCTTCGAAAAGAAGAAAAAATTTGACAATGTCAATACAAAATTTATTGTGTAATCTAAATTTATTTTAAAATATATCAAAAATAACATTAATAATTGAATTAATAGTATAAAAAATGTTTTAAAACACAACAAAATCGAAAGTGCATAATATTTAACACCATTCAGACAAAGAAAGACAATAGCATTCCCAAGGAGGGTTGACGTCAGGCAGGCGGCCGGTCGTAAAACTTTTGCCAAATCCTATCAGCAGTACACTGAAGATGTACTGCGCCGACCCCAAGTGATTTGGGAAATGGGCAGGGAGAAGGTATCTTATATCTTCGGTCGTCATTTTAGATACTTTTCATCTCGGAAAATAAAAGAGTTCCCGTAGGATAGAAAAAACTATAGTGACTTATATAGCTTAGTACACAAAAACTACTGATACGATTTTAATGGAACTTAGAATAACCAATAGGCTACTTTTTATCCCGGAAAAATGTACAGTTCCTGTGGAATAGATTTTCTCTTGTTTGTCTAAAGCTATTAACCCAGTATGCCAAGTATATGTAGAGTTTCTATGGGAATGAAAATAAGCGCAAATATAACAGGGAAAATAAGCGACGGCAGCTCTATTTATTCAGGTATAGATAAGAAAGATTTATTATAATAATAATTTTCTTGTCTAAAATTGTTTTTACTGTTTATTTTGATGATACAAGAAAGGCTTAGCTCAATTTAATAGAAGGCGGTACGTTCATAAATCAATATTTAATATAAAAATACTGTTTTAACATTTTCCTTGAATTCTTTTTAAGAAAAACGTAGAAGCTTTAACGCCCACTTAATTATTAATGCTTTAGTCTAAGCTTTATCGACCGTTAACACCTTAATATCTTACTTTAGTGTTTTTTACAAGGCTTTAAAGCCGATTTATTATTTACACTATTACTATACGAGCAGTATTTTTTACTGAACACTACACGAAATACGTATATTATGGTTTTATATATCTAAAAGCTACCCTGCAATTATAAATTTAACTACTTTATTTGTGTGTTATCTGTAAATAGACCATGCCCCTCAAAATCGTGCTCTTTAAAGGGCTAAAATAGTCGAAATTCCAGCATTTATAACTTCCATGCACACCACCACTAGCAACTAAATGAGAAGTGCAAATATTCATCTCATATAGTTAGGAGCTTTGCAAAAACTTAAGGGAAAATTCTTTATTTATTATAAGATATAAACAAAAATATTCAAAAAACATTAACACAATAATAAATATTAAACAATATAAATAGTTGATATCCAAAAGTTGTATAATAAACTCGGATTAATCCAAACCTTCCTTTTGATTTAATACATGAGAAATAGGCTTTATGTAAACTAAGACACTGGCAACATTATTTGCAGAAGTAGCTGTGAGCTTGCCAAGCGTTTCCCGAACGCAAACACCCAGAAACTGTAACTTGGCCTTTATACCATAAGTACTTAGTAGCACTGCAAAGTAGACGGGTCTCGTAAATCAATGCTACTATGTATGCAAACGATACACGCTAGCGAGCACGTTATATTTTTAAATTGAATGATTTTTATTGTTTAAGCAAGTTACTACAGTTGCGATAGTAAACTGCTGATGTGATTTGTTCCTAGTAGTATCATAACAATGAATTGCCAAGATATTCATTTTTATGGTCGACCCACAATCTGGAATCTACATATCAACACAGTTTTGCTTTTCGTTCGTCTAAAGAAATATATTCGATCCCTGACATGCGTTTTTTACTTCATCGATATGCGTTATCTTCAGTCGTTTGTATGGGAAAAAATTAGAATACTGCTACATCTGGTATATTCTTTACTAGGCTTTGTGTATTTTGTTAAATTTATAACGAAATAATTTTCTCCAACTTCATAATCACTTTAAATTAGCTGTTATATCCTGAAATTATACTCTTTTCAAAAACATATATATTGAAAATGGCAAAAATATCGCGTAAAACGTTTACAAAAATTACATGTTTCTTGAATTAAACCTTCGTGTATCTAACCATCAAGTCGGTTAGTAAAGCTATAAAAGATGTAAAGCGTAAAGTTATATTTCATCAAAATCTGTCTAGTGGTTTTCTCGACATACGTTCCCAGACAGACAGACAGACCAAAATTCTGAAAATTATTCGGCCTCTGTATCGATAATAATGACTATTTCATTAAGATTTTTCAAAAAATCTTTGTATTGTTATAGGTATGTACTAATTCGACTCAATTACAATTTTATTATATGTATACATAGTTTATAATATAACTCTTTTAAACAATATACACCCAAAAGAAAAGAATAGTTGAACATATAATAAATAGTAGTATGTACGTACGAAAGAAAGCGGCTTAGTCAGTAACAGAGCGATCTCTTCCAAGCCTCTTAAGAATATAGAAAATAACAGAGTACAAAGGAGATATTTTTCACCTTTTAAATTAACCATTTTCTTATTTAACAGTATTCAGATACAAATTCAACTACCAGTATCTTGACGTTTGTGCCCGAAGCTGAAGATCATGACGGCGAGCTGATCTGCCGCGCTGAGAACCCTCGGGTTGCAAATTCTGTTATAGAAGACAGCATGAGGTTAAATGTACATTGTGAGTATTTTTTATTTATTTAGGTTTCATATTTATAAAATATCTACATTAGCACTTTGATTAAAGCCTAATAAAAATAAAATAAAAGCCTAATAAAGAATATTCTTTTTTGTTTTTACGATTTACTTAAAATACGCTTACAAATTGAATTCTTCGACCTTACATCGTACTTATATTAATTATCTATAGGTACTAATATTATTAAAGAGGAAAATGTTTGTGAGTTTGTGACGTTGTAGTGGGTAATCGGACGTTGTAATGGGGATGAAATTTGGTAAAAAGATAGTTTGAGACCCTGGAAAGGACATAGGATACTTTTTATCCTGGAAATCATCCCTTAAGGGAGTGAAAATGGGGATGAAAGTTTTTATGGGAAATCAAATCATCGCTTGTATATATAGTTATTATATATAGATGCTTAAAAAATAGGGGGTGGGGGTAGGAAGGTAAAAATACTTTACGACCTATTCTCATACTTATCAAATATACAAAATAAAACATTAAAATCGTTTCGAAGGAGTGCGAGCACAAACACCGTGCCACGAGATGTTTATATATTATATTATATATGTATTAGGTATACTACATCGGTGGTGTAGTGGCTAGCATGTACGGTTGCACATCCGGAGGTCCTGGGTTCGAGTCCCGGGTCGGGCCAAGTTTAGTTATTGAGTCTTTCTGTAAAGTAAGCCTCAGTAGCAGCCCCGAGTTGGGAAGTTGGCGGTGTTTCACCCCCGTGCCTCGGAAAGCACGTAAAGCCGTTGGTTTTGCGCCTTAACTCTCACTGGTCGTGTCCAGCGGTCGTCCCACCGGAGTATAAGAGTTACAGGAACAGAGAGTGCGCGTACACTTGTGCACTATAATATCTCCTGCGCAGTTGGCTAGTCTCAATGAGATTGGCCGCCGTGGCCAGAATCAGTCAGGAGAACATCAATCAAATCAATATGAATTAGATTAGTCTGATTCATTGGTTTTTGGTTCCTGACGTTGCGAATGCTTTCCTGTAATAATTTTTAGACACTAGTCTCTATTGTCACCATGATTGTTGTAAAGCATTTGAAATATTGGAAATCAAAATATATCCCAAAAGATACTTTTATTTAAAATATCAAATATTCTCGTAAATCCAAGAAGAGATTTGTATTGTATCCAGCCCTTTTTAATGTTCCACTGCTGAGCTCGGGTCTTCCTACAATCCACCATGTTGGCCAAGTTTATATTAGAAGAGATTTATATTATTTGAAATAAAACAATTTTAGCAAACCTTAATTTCATCCATGTATTCAGCCTTTTTTTAATTTCCCACTGCTGGGACTCCACGCTATAGTCCACCACGCTGACCAAGTGCGAGTTGGCGGACTTCACATGTCTTTTGAAAACTTGCTAGTTTCTCTCAGACATGCAGGTTTCCTCACGATGTTTTCCTTCACCGTTAAGACAAGTGGTAATCACGTTGGAAATAATTCGCACATGAAAATATCAGAAGTGTGAGACCCGGGATTTGAACTCGCTTCACTCGGTTTCCCAAGCGAGCGCGTTACCAATGAGCTACCACTGCCTATAAATTCCATCCATACGTTACGTACAGAAATCTGTATGCGACACAGTTTATATAGGTTGCATCTCTCCAAGCCTATACTCGTATAAATGCGATCTTACTAAAGACTATTACGGATCGCGTCCATACCATTCACCCTAATGTTATCGGAAATAGCGGTTTTGTAGTACCATATGGTTATTTGAGCTGTTGATATAAGGGATTACTTACGTAGATAGTCCATATATTTTTATGGCCTTTTATATTATATTATATTTATTTTTTATTAAATATTTTTCTATAAAATTATCAATATTTTTTTAAAATGTAATATACTTATTAACTTACTTATAAGATAACTCCACTTTTTAGGGGAGTGGATCTATACCAATATTATAAAGAGGAACGATTTATTTGCTTCTTTGTTTACTTTTTTCTGGGCGACCAATTCTGAACTTACTAAACCGATTTTAGTAATTCTTTTTCTAATAGGTAGTTTAAATTTTATTTGTGTAGTGTGTTTAAGACGAGCTTGTCACGATGCCTTTACCTTCTCCACTGTGTCAGTAACAAATACGTAGATAATTAAAAAAAATGTATTACAAAATATGTGTAGATCTTTAATAGAAAAATAACATACATTTAACTTTTTATGCAGTTTATTAATTATTTTATGTTATGACTATGAAATGTTAACTAATTGCAGTGCTTGTATTTTTTTATAACGAATATTTTATAGTCACGAGTACTTAATAGAGATATAATTCGCTATTAGCTGCATTTAATTTCATTATATTATCGTTTAGGAGAAAATGAAAAATTACTACCTACTTGCTGTGCCAGTGGTCGCGGGTTCGAGTCCCGCTGGGGACATTCATTTGTGTGATGAGCTCCTTTAGATGTTTGTACTCCCGTCATGAGGCTTATATGTATAATATGTATGTATTTAAAATTATGTATGTATATGTGCAGTGTATCAAGTATCTGATATCCATAACAAAAGCAAATCCTCGAAGCTTACCATGGAACTAGATGGTGCGTTAATGTCCCAACATATATTTATTTATTTATATTTAAATAAAACACTACTTATTTCTTTGGGACTTATAATATCTTATATGATTTCCTCACAGTTAGTTTAAATAACATAACTAATTGTTATCCTGGTACATGAACTCAGTAGACGATTTTTATTCAAAGGTTTTAAAATCTTTATTCGATTTAAGCAAAATAAATCTATATACTGAATTTCGTTCTACTCGAGCCATTGAATTTAACAAATTATTGTATCGTTTTCTACTTTACATAATTGTATTCTATAAAAACCAAACCTACCTTGGCCCATTAGACACAGTTAAGTGTCACAAAAACATTAGTCCCATGGCAATAAAGACCCTTCTCGATCGTTTCCTTTAATCGATTAGTAGATAATTATAGTATAACAAGTAATAAAGGAAAATGTTCTGAAGATGGTCAATCATTCACTTTCACTTGGACGTAATCCTCAGTAATTAATATAACGACAGGGTCTGACGATATCTCATTCAGCTTGATGCTTAAGTAATTTGACACCTACTTGGTCCTTATCTACTGGTGTCGGTCCTTCACGGTCCTTTCAATCTCATTTTATTTTACTCACTGTTATCAGGATAACTGCAAAAATTAACATAAAACATTATTTATATTATAATTTATACGGTTTCTAAAAGCTAGTATTTTATATTTTTTTTGCATTGATATAAGTTAGTATTGTAATTATTTATTTGTATCTTTTAAATTTAATGCGCACTACATATATATTCTATACATATAATAAAATTGTAACTAAGCTGAATCTGTACATTAAATATTTGATAGAAAACTTATTGAAATAGACATTATTTTCGATACAGAGGCCAAATGTATAGTTTTTAGATTTTTTTCTGTCTGTCTGTCTGTTAGCGCATCACAAAAAAACCACTGGAGGGATTTTGATGAAATTTGGTATGGTTATAGCTGGTTATCCGGGTCAACATATATGATGCTTTTTACCATATATATAAATAATATAAATAAAAGAAAATATCTCATTTCTGAGAAATAATACAAAAACTGCATTGTAAGAGTATACTAATATGTAAAACCTAAAAATTTGCATTTTGGTCATCAGAACGCGTGCGGGGCCGCGGGCAATGCTAGTTTTATTATAATTATATACCTATTTTATAAAACAACTTCGAAGTCTTAATAACTGATAGATGTGGTATACATAGTTCACTTGATGAATTGTTTAGGCTCCAGATTAGTGATTATTCAAATAAAACTTAATGCATATGTAAAAATAAATAACTACAATATTTATTTTACATTATATTTATAAGAAGTAATGCCCGTTTTTACAGGGAGTGATAGCCTAGTGACAACGCTCTCGCTTGGGAAACCGAGTGAAGCAGGTTCAAATCCCGGGTCTCGCACCTCTGATATTTTCATGTGCGAAGCATTTCTAACACGATTACCACTTGCCTTACGGTGAAGGAAAACATCGTGAGGAAACCTGCATGTCTGCGAAAATCTAGTAAGGTTTCGAAAGACATGTGAAGTCCGCCAACCCGCACTTTGCCACCATGGTGGACTATGGCCCGATCTCATCTATTGAAGGGAGGCCCGTGCCCAGCACTGGGACGATAAAAAGGGCTGAATACATACATACATACGTACATACAATGCCAATTTTTAGTAATAAAATTTTTGAAAACTTGAAAAACTATTATGTTATAAAATAAGTTATTTTTATTACTTTTCGATAAACGACGTGAAATTTTCAGATGTACCGATTGCAACGTTGAAAATGGGTTCAAATTTGAACCCCAATCACATAAAGGAAGGGGATGACGTCTACTTCGAATGCAACGTGCAAGCCAACCCAAAAGCGAACAGACTAGCCTGGTATAAAGACGTAAGTGCTTTACCTAATCTTCCTAAGTTTATACGGAATTTCTACTGAAGCTATTCCAAAATATATTTTAAACGTTTGATTTTAAAAACCATTATCCTACTCAGGTTATAGCCAATATTTATTTGTCTTAAAAGATTAAATCAGTTATTCAAAATTTCTGTAAAGTGTTGAATCAATGAATGCTATGTACATTTTTATTTTTATGTATGAATCATCAATTCCCGCGTTATATAGTTAACATATAAGGGTATTTTAAGCAAAGTGATTTAAATAGAGACAGTTTAAAGCTTAAAAAAACAGCTCAGTTACTCATTTTTATTACAGTACATTTATTACAGTAAAAACTGAACTACATTAAAAACAGATAAACGGACGAACCACCCTTATAAATTATAGTTAAAATATTGTAATATTATCAACTGTTGATAGTTCTAATACCCGAAATATCTTTGAAAAGTGGAGCAGAGTAAAAATGGGTTTTAGTATACCACATAAGATAGTGACCCGATTTTTAGGCAATTTCATAAAGAGGTCAAAGTTTTTGGGAGTTATCTGACAGACGCTCTGAGCGTATGCCTGAGGGACTGGAGTGAATAGTTCTACGGTTAATATTCAAATTACGGATATAAAAACTTTATGAGAACTTACGTAAAGTATGATATATTTTATAAGATTAAATTTTAGGATATATAATACGTATACTTACGTAATCACTACATAATATAAAATAAAGTCGCTTCCCGCTGTCTGTCCCTATGTATGCTTAGATCTTTAAAACTGCGCAACGGATTTTGATGCGGTTTTTTTAATAGATATGGTGATTCATGAGGAAAGTTTATATGTATAATACATGTATATTATAGTACAGAAAAGCCGAAAAATTCAAAGATTTGTATTTCATACTAACCGTTAAAATGTACCTAGGGACGAACCCAAGCGAAGCGAGGGTAAGTTGCTATACGCAATAATTGAACGAACCTTCTAATTATAAGGCAGTTAGCACTTGAGAAACCAAGTGAAATGAAGTGAGTTCAAATCCCGGGTCTTGCACTTCTCATTTTCATGATCCGCATATCAAAACATCAGAACCACTTGTCTCACGGTGAAGGAAAACATAAAACTTGCGTGTCTGAGCTAGCTAGTTTTCGAAAGATATATGAAGTCCGCCAATTTAACGAATGGACAGCGTGGTGGTTAAAAAAATCCCAGTTGTGGGACGTTAAAAAAAGTGCTTAACAGATTAACTTTCCGCAAAATAGACACAATAGTTAAATAATCGAAATGTTCATATTATCAAGGGACAGGGAAACCGTTAAATACAGTATTAAAATATATATTCATAGTATTAGAGAAACAATGGCAATGACTTTAGAGACTTTATAATAGGTAATAAATATGTTATCTTATTAAAAAAAAAAACTTTCATCATATTTTTCATTAATATTATTATTTCCTTAGGCAAAGGAAATACAACATAATGCAAGTTCCGGCATCATTCTAAGTGATCAGAGTCTAGTTCTTCAGAGTGTGAATAGAAACGCGTCCGGAGACTACAGTTGTCTCGCTCACAATGTCGAAGGCAGCGCCTCAAGCAATGCTGTATCATTACAAGTTCGATGTAAGTTCTTAGATTGGTTCTGAATGACCATTGTACTTAAGTTTAGATTTGCCTTCTTGGTTTATGCGAACTAATCTAAGTTTGAATTTGAGTAAGTGCAAGGACCATATCCGAGACTACGATAGAGCTCGTCGGTTTGCATCCCGATTGAAGTAAATATATTATATCAAACAAAGGGCGAAGCAATATACATAAATAATATTTAATATATGGCAACAATTGTACTGTCTGACTAATTCATCACTATCCAGACCAAAATGCTGGATGTAAAGGGCTAATATTATGTCAGCCTATACTTATAAAGACGTAGAAGATCAACCCAACAATTATAGGCAAGGCTGTAAAAATGATAACAGAGTTTTTATAGGAAATAATATTTTTCTATCCAGTTTTACTTAAAACTTAATGTTAATGGAATTCAATACAATGTACATTTTCAGCTTTATATATTTCATCGTTTTTAAAATTCTACCCCTTAGCGGATAAAAGGTTTTATAAAACTTGCGTGCGAAATATTTTACTGTTCAATTTATCTTGTATCTTACCACTATTATTGCTGCAGGATTGCAATATTATTTTCAAAACTAATAAATAAAATGTGTTGACTCATTTTTATAAATATAAACACCCATAACTGGAGCACAAACATTCGTGCTGAGAAATGAATGCCCCAGCGGGACTTGAACCCGCGACTGCTGACACAGCAAATAGGGTCACTACAAACTGAGCCAAACATCTATTTATATTTTTATCTTTGTCACATTGTCATTTATAAGTAGTTTAATCCATATATTATAATACAACTCTATCCACAATTTTCATGACAGACATACCGTTATGCAAGGCGACGGAAGACGGCCAAGTGTACGGCGCGTTGAAGCAAGAGTCTATAGAATTATCTTGCACAGTCGACTCCAACCCGCAGCCGTCTAACTTTGAATGGGTGTTCAATAGATCTGGTGATCAAAGTGAATTGCCGCCTAGGTAAGATTTGGTCTAGTTAAATGTAACTATCTATACGTTCAAATAGACTGTAATTGGGTTAGTTTTTAAACTTTGTATTCGTTAAATATTTATATTTTACTTTTAGTTACGTTTTAAAATTTATTATAGGTTTCTCAAAAATGAGATACTTTCCCGCAGTAAAGAGTATCCTATACGTTGACCCGGATAACTAGCTATCATCAAAGTAAATTTCATCAAAATCTGCCCAGTGGTTTTCTCGTAATGCGGTCACAGTTAGACAGACTAACAGACAAAATTTCTAAAAACTGTAGATTCAGCCTCTGTATCTGTATGTAGTCTGTATAATAATGACTATTTCAATAAGATTTTCCAAAACGGTTGCGGTTTCCGAATGTTTGTAATAATTTAATGCTGAATAAAATATTTTGAATTTGTTTTTTATATGTACATGTGCATTGAACATACTAAACACCACAGACGTTTTATCCATGCTTTTTTTTGGTTTGATTATTTATAAAATATTTTTTTAACTATTAACAAAAGTAGGTTATATTATATATAATAAGGCTTACGGTTTAATTTTTTTTGATTATTATTATTCACTAAAATCTATCATCGCCATTTTTGTTAAAGCATGATATTTAAATGCGAAGCTATTCAAGTTGTTAACCATTAAAGTAATATGACACCCATCACGGATGCTATATTATTGCTAAAATAATTTAGATTAATGACTACTTTATACTCAAAGTTAGAGCTTTCTGATCGTAAAGACTTTATTTTTATACATCTACAATCATAAAATTGATTATGATTTATTATATACATAGGTATATGGTTTTAGTCTCGTTTTTTCTTCACTATAAAGCTATAGTTTTTATCAGAGCAATAGTTATTTTCTAAAACGTCTCGTATGGGAAATGAATTTGTGACTTAACAATGGATAGATTGTTTTATTTCTCTCAAAGACGTAATTTTAATAAAGTAAAATAAAGATAATTTAAATTTAAAATGTACGATAATATTATAAATGTGAAAGTTTGTGTGTATGGATGTATGGATGTTTGTTACTCTTTCACGCAAAAAGTACTGAATGGATTTTAATGAAACTTTACAATTATATAGCTCATACTTTAGAATAACACATAGGCTACTTTTATCCTGGAAAAATGTACGATTCCCGTGGGATAGATCTGTTTTTGTTTTTCTAGAGGCGAACCCGAGCGAAGCGAGGTTGAGCTGCTAGTATACATATAAAAATAATTGGATTGATTCTGGAAAAAAATCTTTTAGTATTAAATTTATTACTAAGTTTTATTAAGCACATATAGAGCGAACTTTAGAGTAAAAAGTTATACGTTAACTTACGTAAGTTAAAAGTAATCTACATACATAAATAACATAATGTAATAAAATTGTAGCTGATGGCTGATCGCTGTATGTACATGGAAGATATTTGAGAAAAACTATTATTGGGGGTCTTTATTAAAGAAATAGAACCAAAAACAATGATTTTTAGAATTTTTGTCTGTTTGTCTGTGCGTTTGTGCGCGCTAATCTCAGAAACGGCTTAGCTCATTTGGATGCGGTTTTCACTAATGTATTATAATAAGCTTCACTTATTTAGTATTTGTTTTATTCCAATCGGTTCATAAATAAAAAAGTTACGTCAATTTAAAGAACCACCTAGGGACGAACCCGAGCGAAGCAAGGGTGAGCCGGTAGTATATAATACATACAAAGGTGTTACATATTATAAGAAAACTAGCGAACTACCCTCACTTTCCTTATGGTGTCCATGTGTTACTCCAGGTCATAGTCGGTCTACGTAATAAATCTCATCCAAATCAGTTTAGCCATTTTGGAGTGAAGGAGTAACGAACATGCACACACATAAATGCGCATAATATACAGAAACTTTCGCATATACCTATAGAAAGTTTGATAGAACATACAGTGTCATTTATACATTCAATACGAAAACGATTTGTGAAGGCTAGATTTGTTGAATTGTAAAGCAATGCAGGACGACGAACAAAGGTCAGGTGTCTGGGGACCGAATCGATTACTGTTATATTCCCCTGTGCAAGCTATTCCGAAGGTCTGGAGATCGAGTATTTTAAAATTGCTAACACTTATCGGGCTAAAATATGAAAGAAAATCATTTGAGATTAATAAAAGTAGAGATAAACTTTATAGTATATTATTAGAAATACTAAGTCTAGATCTTTTAAGCAACTGACTTTATGCTATTGAACTAGCGTGTGGCTGACTGAGGCTTTCTTTAGATATTTTTATGTAGTCCCAATTCTAATTTTAAATTAAATGCCTTATACAGATAATTTAAACAGTATTCTTGAATCTATTAGATTAATTAACATTAGATGTACGTCCCTAGGTACGTTTTAATTTTTTTGAGCGGAACCCTAATTCTTTATCTAAAATAGTTACTTCTTATAACAGTAGCTATCTGCCAGTGAAAGTCTCGTCAAAATCAATCTAGCCGTTTCGTATATTAGCCGGAACAAACAGACAAACATTACAAAAATACATTTCAATTTTATTTATCTGTGTAGGTTTGTTTAATAAATACAGTTTTACTAAAGTATAATTGTATAACTCGTTATAATTATATAAATTTCATATTATTTTTAATACATGTAATCCATTCTCCTGTAATATTATATTGTGTAAAACAATGCTTTGTGATAGCGTCATAGAATCGTTTTCAGTAAGACGATACCGTTTTCAGTATAACACTTTTGCAAAATTATAATTAATATTCTCGCTATTCATTTATTATTTAGAATTTTATATTATTAAAGTAATCAATAAATTGAAAAAAAAATATTATTCATTATCTTAGTCTATTCCTTTTTTAGATATAAGCCTATTCTAAATATTTCATTTAAAAGTATACATTATTTTGTTTATTGTATATAAATAAAACACAATTGCCAGGCTAAAATAATGGTAATGGTTTTTCAAAGTTTTCTCAAAGTTGGTATATCTTAAATTATATAAAACAAATTCGGGTTTGTTACAACACTTCTAACTCGAGAACTGCTGGACCGATTTTTATGGTCTTTGTTTTGTTCGATTTGTCGTCACCCCTAATAGCAGAATAACTATTAAAACATCGGAAAAATTCACGAAAACAAAAATTATAATTTACATGGCTAACGCTGGGTTAAAACGTATCCAAGGACGAACCCGACTGAAGCGAGGGTGAGCCGCTAGTATCTTTTAAACCTTGGCACGAGCTAATCACTTAATACACTTTCTGCAACAGACTACGCTAAATTCAGTAAATATTTGCTGGTCCAGTCGCAGCGTGGCCGGGATAAACATAGCCTACAACCAACTCCATGATACACTCTATGTTCTTGCCAAATTTCATCAAAATCTGTTCAGTTGCTATAAAACGGAAACAACAATCACAGGTTTTATAATATTAATATGGACGTGAAAGAGTGCTTGTCAGTTTTGCTTCTTTTTGATAATGTTAAAGTATTTTTAAGCAGTTTATGTTTTTAGACTGAAGAGTTAGGTATACATATTTCAATACAACAGAACCAGGGTTCCGTTGAATAATTTACTTACACCGTTCTTCTGTTACATATGCGAAAATTTATATGTGTACTTTAAGTTATTTCTAGACGGATTTAGATGAAATTTAAAACTGATACATTATAATCTGCAGTAACACATAGGCTACTATAAGCACCAGGATTTAATTAGGTAGTAGTTTTTATATTTGTGACCTAAACGGTAGAGCCGCGTGTGATAAGTGTAGACTAAATAAGAGTGTGTTGTTGATGCCACTTCATATCTTATTTGTGTAAGCCTCTTGGTAATATATAGAACAACTTCAAATCTCACATTACAAACTTGGTCGCAAAGTTCCGTTAAGTTGTGTCAGTTTGGTGCATAATATTCATTGCAAGCGAGTTTCGTGTTATATGTGTATGGATAACCTTTGAAGTATAAACCGTATGAAGATGTTTGAACTTGTTGCTATAAGTAACCTCTGCTAGATAATCTTTGGTATAAGAAGTACAAAAGGCAATTGAAATATATGTATTTACATGTATACATATAATATATACTGCACACGAAAATATAGGTACCATAAATAATAACAATACAGTACTTACGATCAAGGTGATAAATAAATTACATGTACGATGTCATTTGAAGTAGCTTAAAGAGAGATTAATGGGTAATGCTATATTGCACAATTAAACTGATTTTACAATAACTGAATATCTTCCTAGTCAACTTCGGCAACGACCGCCAGTCTTACTGAAACTAGCCAACTGCGCAGGAGATATTATAGTGCACAAGTGTACGCGCAGACACAAGTGCACTCTCTTTTCCTTTTCACTCTCAAAGACCGATGGGATTTCGACAAGACCGATGAGAATTAATAACTAAACTTGGCGCAGGAATCGAACCCAGGACCTCTAGATCTGCGACCGTACATGCTAGCCATTAGACCACCGGGGCAGTTAAGGCGAAATAATGTGTGTAGCATTTGACTACCGCAATATTTAAAACGTATTTTTAAAAATTTACTATTTAGTATATGAATGTAATCATCTTATTAGTTATATTATATTCTATTATATTGTTATGTATTTTGTTTATTTTTTTATTTTTGTATCCCATTTAATGTTTAAGTAACCGTAAGTAAACAAACGTTCATTTCGGTTATTTGGCGAGACAAATTTGTACTTAAAAAAATATAATTGTTAGACTTAGATTGTTTTTAAAAAAATATATATTTTTGCCAGATAAATAAATGAAAAATACATACATTTATCCTTCACGTAATATGCAATGTAAAATAATAAAAAAAATATTACCCATTTCGATTTATTCTAATTTTTACATGCAATGAGATTTTAAGCCTAAACAATTTAAATTCAAAGCTCGTTATTTAATATAAAAAGTTCCCTTATTATTTGCCAAAAACTCTAACAGCAGTTTGGGAAAAATATTTCAGTCCTAAGAATAATTGCCGAAAAAAACTTAAATGATAGTTCTTTTTAAACTTTTTGATATAAAATAAATTTAAGCAAATTAAATATAACACGTAAAATATAGCATAAACTTAAGAGAAACATTCAGTTTCGAAGGTTTTGGCCGTGGCCGAAATTTATCAGGAGGACATCATTTTTAAATTAATATGTTGGGAGATTAACACACAGTACCATCTAGCTCCATGGTAAGCTACGAGGCTTGTGTTATGGATACCAGAAAGTTGATACACTACACATATATAACTTTAAATACATACATATTATAAATATAAAACCCATGACTGGAGTACAAACATCCGTGCTCATCACACAAATGAATGCCCCTAGCGGGACTCGAACCCACGACCGCTGGCACAGCAAGTAGGGTCACTACAAACTGAACGAGTCGTCATTATATTTAATCTTAAAAATATCTATAAGACTATAAAATAAAACCAATTATATTGAATTTCCCCGAGTTAATATATCACATTAGATATTCAGAGCAGAGCGAGATCAAACTCCTGCTCCCTTGAGTATCGTTTCCAGATAGCTTTCCTAATTAGGAATGATTTTTCTTTAGTCTTTGCTTTTGTCACTTAATAATTTACTTTGACGTATTTTAAATGAAATCAAAAAAACTTTGTCTTTTGTTTTTTTTTTCAATTGTACTTATATACAATATATTCCTATTATTATAATTGAAGTCGATTTCTTTAACGATGATAACTGACTTTGAAATTGATTGTTGTAAATTGACCTTAATATTTCGTCTAGAGTATATACAGTATATTAATATGTAACATAAAATATTATTACAATATTAAAATCGTACAACTGAAAAATCCATAAGTTATTTAAATCTTTCGGTTTCACATAATATAAGGATTGATTTATTGATTTTTAATGAAATTTTTTATCAACAAAATAAAACTGTAATAGTAGGTTTGATTCCAGCTTAGAGTAAAATAATTTTAATCACGTTGAAAAAAATAATCATTTGCTACGCTCTTAGCCTAAATAGTATAAAACATGTCACTAATTTGAAAAATATATTTATTAGCTTATACAGAAGTACGGGACATACATCAGTGCTGAAGTACACGCCGACACAAGATAAGGATTTTGGTACAATATTATGTTTAGCGACCAACACTGTCGGCAAGCAAGCGACTCCTTGCTCGTATAACATAGTAGCTGCAGGTAAATTTTTAATAATATTATCTATATTTAATTCATAATCTGTATGTTATAGAAAAAATATAAAAATTACTTGTTTTTACTTGTGTTGACATGTTTAATATTTTATGTATGATTTTGAGTGTAGGTAATTAAAGAAGATAAATAATAAATAAATAAATATGTTGGGACATTAACACACATCACCATTTACTTCCATGGTAAGCTACGAGGCCTGTGTTATGGATATCAGATAGTTGATACACTACACATATATAACTAAACACCCATGATTGGATACAAACATTCGTGCTCATCACACAAATGAATGCCCCGAGCGGGACTCGAAACCGCGACCGCTGGCACAGCGGGTCACTACAAACTGAGCCACACGCGTTGTCAATACTTAAGAACAACGTTGTTTTACGTGACATTGGCGAAGTAATCTGTGGTCTAATAGCACTTTATAAAGCCATTTACAAGTGAATTGAATTGACAACAACGTTTGAAATATTTGCCATAAAATCATTTATAACGTGAGTCAGTAGTGCGAGTGAACTCACTTTACTGTGAACATTTCGACTGTGTTGTGCAAGAACATGCTTTGTTTTGTTTCAAATCACACTCAAACCATCTGGTCTGCTATATTAAAAAAATATGTAGAATTCACTAGATGCCATATAAATATAATATATAAAAACTAAAAATATTTATTACCTATCGATACCTGTTTAAAAAAGACAACTTACCAGGTCTTAGAAATCTATCTGTCTGTTTAAACTCGCACCAGAAGAACTAGATTGTTACTATCTAAATTGACAAGAATTCTAGCTTAGATATACTTATTATCTAGATATGTAATAATAACTATATTAATATATATAAATATGATATTTTTATTTTAAATCCTAAAAACGTACATACATATATGTAAACAGAAATTACCTTACAATAAAATTACATAAAGTATTTAACTGATATTTTATAGGAATGTTTCTAACTATCATGCTTTTCATGTCCAGGTCGCCCTACAGCTCTACAAAATTGTACAGTCATGAACCAAAGTGGGGAAGGTAATAGCCTGCAAGTGGACTGTATGGAAGGCTTCGATGGAGGACTGCCGCAAATTTTCTTTTTAGAAGTACTTGAATTGCCTTCAGTTACTGTAAGTTATATTGCTAATAAAAATATAACTTATTTCTTGATATAATCATGGTCAATGTAAGTCACTGTAAAATATATAAAATATATTTAAAAAACATCTATATATCTGATCTGCCTAATCCTGAGGTCATGGGTTCGAATCCTGGGTCGAACCAATAATTGTTTTTTTTTCTAGTAAGTTTTTCTCAGTTTGTCCAATATATAGTTGAGAAGTGCGCAATGTTACACTCCTGTAGTTTATATAATTACTATAATAATATTTGTGCAACATATGTAATATCTCCTGCCTAGAAGTCTGTAGGACAGTCTCTAGATAATCAGCTACAGTGATGATCCCAACTCAGTCTTTATTAATTGGTTAATTTATTATTATATCGTGTGTCTGATTTAAATTTTTCGTATTGATGGTACACGTTCATATTTTACTTACGAAATAGCCCAAAAAAGACAATTTATCTAATTAATAAAGCAAAGTAGGTATGTTCCTTCACAAGTTATTTGTTCTTCCAAATATTATTTTTCTGATAATATTAAGTATACATACTTGTACTGATACTTTGTTTTTAGTACTTTAAACGGTACTGTCCATGATATTTTCCTAAATTAATATATTTTATTATTTTATAAAAATGTCAAGTGTTTCTTAATTAAATTTCCTTATAAAAGACTTTATTGTACGCACGTTTGCATTTTCACGAGCACATATAAAACTGTAGCAACCGTTGGTGTCGCTTTTTATTCACATCGTGCCATAATTACAATCCCTGTATTGTTTTAATTTGGTTGTTTAATTTAATATTAAATATCTATGCAAGAAGCGTAGGATTTCTGAAAATATTACTTGAATGCAAAAAGGCGTGGTTTCCATTCCACTATACGGTTATTCTGGCATGTGAAGCTCAATATTACTGCAGAAAAACATACAATAAAATCAGGAATCATTTTGTTTTCCTTATTTATTTTTTTTTGATAAAGGAAAGGTCATACAAAATGTGCAGTCATAGAGGGTTTTTAATGATTTCATATTCAACTAGCTTTTGCCCGCGGCTTCGACTGCGTGAAGTGTTTTAGAAGCATTTCAAAAAATTTGAAATTTCAATACTAAAATAGTGAGCTTCGTGAGTATTACCGGGGTAAAAAGCCATCTATGCTATCTATGAATATGGTCTATTTGTGTGCTAAGTTTCATCTAATTTCGTTTATCTATACTAGTATACTAACATGATAAAGAGGTTAAGTTTGTGAGATTGTGAGTGTGTGACGTTTGAGGGGGTAATCTCTGGATCTACAGAACCGATTTAGATGAAATTTGGTAAGAAGATAGTTTGAGACCCCGGGAAGGACATAGGATACTTTTTATCCCAGAAATCTTAAGGGGGATAAAATAGAGATGAAAGTTTGTATGGGGAATCAAGCTAGGGACGAACCCGAGCGAGGCGAGGGTGAGTCGCTAGTCGGTTAATATAAATTTATACATATGATAAAAGTCTAACTGAATCGAATCCGTACATTAAATATTTTTTGGAAAATCATATTCAAATAGTCATTATTATTGATATATAGGGCGAATCTATAGTTTTTAGAATTTTTGTCTATAAGTCTGTCTGTGACCGCATAATGAAAAAACCACTGAACATATTTTGATGAAATTTGGTATGATGATAGTTAATAATGAATATTTAAACATTCTTAGTTATTGACGGTACTAATAGAATTACATCTTATAATATAAAAGCAAGATTGAAATTAGTATTCCCTTATACCAATTAAGGCGTTATGAGTATTAAAAGTTACTTTCTATCTTAAAGGCAAAACTTCGCCTTAAATTAAGAAACTGCTTAATGAGTTTCGTTTAAGATTTAGTTTTTATAAAGCAAATGTAGTTCAAGTAAAAATATGTTAATTAATTAATTATGTGTCGTCATAGGATATTTTATAGAAATATATATTATAACGTTCGTTCGTACGTCGTTTGATTCGTCCCTTGGTACGTTTTAACTGTTAGTATAGATTTCTCAGAGATGAGATATTTTATCCTATAAAAATTATCCTAAATGTTGACCCGGATAACCAGCTATCATCATACGAATTTCATCAAAATCTGTTCACTGGTTTTCTCGTGATGCGTTCCCAGACAGACACAAATAGACAAAAATACTAAAATTCGGCCTCTGAATAAAAATTCTATTTCAATAAGATTATCTAAAAAATATTAAATGTACAAATTCTACTCAGGTAGAATTTTATTATATGCATAGGTATTTTTTTTTGGTTAATGGCACACAAATCTTTTAAAGAGGTTTACTTCTATAACTGTCGAGTGGTTCACTGGAGATAAGCCTTCCTGTATAAGCAAGTCGCCATCGGCTTTAAAGCAAGTTGTCCACACGACAAATGGCTTGAGACTCGGTACACGTTCAAATTCTGAGTACTTCAATAGTTTTAAGTTTTCATTTGGAGCAAAAAATAACATCAGATTTATATAATAAAGCCTATTTAATAATAGGTACATTTCAAGTATTGAAACCGATCGACTATACTTTTCGTTTAACTATCCTCAACAGAAAATAACTAGAATATTATCATAATACGATAACGCTAAAATATTTGATGTTGTAAATACATAATATTTTGTACCAGCGACCGTCGTTCGGCTCGGGTTCGTCCCTAGTTACGTTTTAACGTTTAGTATAGATTTCTCATAGATGAGACATTTTCTCGCAGTAAAAGTATTCTATATGTTGACCCGGATAACCAGCTATGATTATACCAAGTTTCATCAAAATCTGACCAACGGTTTACTCGTGATGCGTTTCTAAACAGACAGACAAATAGACGAAAATTCTAAAAACTATAGGCTTGGCCTCTGTATCTTTAATTATCACTATTTCAATAAGATTTTCCCGAAAATATTTAATGTACAGACTTAACTCAGAATTTTATTACATGTATAGACTAAGTACGAGTAATTTTTAGTGTTAAAAATGTCTAAGTTTAAATAATATTCTTTAAATTAAACATATTAATCATATGAAAAATATTACATAAATGCGAAAAATTATATATTTATATATTTACTATCTTTTATTGGTGTGATTGCCATACGAGCGGAACCACGTGAAAAATAAGACGAACATTTTATCTACACTAATATTATAAAGAGGAAAGGTTTTTTTTGTTAGTACCGAAAAAGCTCCAAAATTACTAGACCGATTTAGATGAAAGGTAAGAATATAGTTTAAGATCCTGAGAAGGACATAAGATCGTTTTTATCTCGGAAATAATGCCTTAAGAAGGTGAAAATGGGGATGAAAGTTTGTATGGGGAATCAAACTAGAGATGAACCCGAGTGAAGCGAGGGTGAGTCACTCGTTTATTATAAAGGTATAAGTTGCTATATTAACATTTTGTAAAAAAATTATATCTCAGAAATTTGTTCGAAAAGATAAAATACGTTGGAATATACCCTCGCAAAAATATAAAAGTTACAATAAAACTTGAACTACAAACTTGTTTAAACTAGAAATAGAATCTCAATATATTGAAATATACGGAGTGATAGTAAATATTGTACAGAACATATTTCTCCAGGTCCGAGCAAACATAACTTCCAACTTTACGCCGACATTCGACGTGCTAGGGTTGGACAGAGGATTGAGTTATATCCTTAATCTGTATGCAGCGAATGCTAAGGGTAGGAGTGAAGTGGTAACCCTATATACGATAGCTGTCCGATCTCCGGATAAATATACAGGTAAATCGTTATTTTTATACTAATATAGCATTTGCCATATGGTTTCACATGCGTTTGAATTCTTATTGATACCAATTTAATGACACCTTTTTTATATTATCCCTTAAATCATGAAGCTCAAGCAAAACGAATCTACTAAGCATATTTGAAATAAGCCTTAATACTTTATAATAGACTATCACTCTTGATTTTGTTTTTAATTATGTACATATTCTATATATGGAACTTTCAAATCACTTGGTAGCGTAGCAGTAGTTAAAACTTACTATTGTTGATATTAAACGTAAATTTTTAAATACAAAGTAAATTATATTATGCTATTAAAGAAAAAGCAACTCAGTCATAGGTTAAATTGGAGTATGTGATTTAATTTCATAATGGTCACAGTGGTATAAATCTGGTTAGTATAAATGATTCTTATCAGATACGCATTTTATCAAAATAAATAAAAAAAGCGGATAAAAAATATGAATAGTAAAAAAAATATTTACAAATATGCAAGGAACCAACCCTAAATATAGCCTTTGATCCCAGAGAGTGAAGTAAATAGACTTTTATTTTATAATATCACTTTTTCTTATTTAAACTAGGAAAGCTACTTTACATTATGATCAGATGACAGTATAATCCACATAATCAATCCCTTAACAGGATAATTTTTTATCCATCATTAAATTTTTTTTATTTTTCAACCAACTTCAGAAAAAGTAGGATATTCTTAATTCGGTTGTATTTACTGCTGCTGGCGTTGATTTCGTAAAAAAATCTGATTAGGTATCTATAGTAAATCTTTTTTCCCGTTCAGTTATGTTTTACTTTTTCGTATTTTTTAAGGCTGTTTTTATTTATTTTTTTTAAGTTTTTATTGCATCTATTTTGCTTGTACCTACGTCATTTTGCGACGTCAAACACATTTAAATCACTCTGATCTGGGATTAGCCTTAGAATTGTAAATTACATTTAATTTCATTGTACAGTTGATTATTTCCATTCAATTCTGTAACAACTATCTAATTAATTTCACAATAAGATAAACAAGCCCTAATTATTAGATATATACGATTGACTTTCCATTTTGAAATTTAAAACTAATGTGATAAAATCTAAATTTAAAAAAATAAAATTTTCATCTTTTCCATGCTGGTGTTATTGATACATCAGTTGTGTCTTTTTTTCAATCCGAACTGTACTATTCAGTTATTTCTTCCTTTTAACTCTTGGTAAGATGAATGAATGTAAGTTATATGTATATATGTAGGAGATCTTACAAGACCATTTTATATGAAATTAACGTATTTATGAATTTCTTTAAAATTTATTAAATACGTTTTATTTCTTTCGCAGTCCTCCAAATACCCTTTCAAATCCCATTCCAATCTTACACGATCACTTAGTCGAATATTCAGAATGTATAATATATAAAATCCTACATGTATATTGTATATACTCGTAATCTATATACAACCCTTTTTAAAGTACCACTGTTAGGCGCAGGCCTCTCATCAATACGATGGGGATCAGGCCATAGTCCACCACGCTGGACAAGTGCGGGTTGACGGACTTCAAATTTCTTTTAAAAACTTGCTAGATTCTCTCAGATACTTCAGGTTTCTTCACGATATTTTCTTTCATCGCAAGACAAGTGATAATCATAATTTAAATAATTCGCACATGAAAATATCAGCATACAAGACCCGGGATTGAACCCGCTTTAATTGGTTTTCCAAGAAAGCGCGCTACCACTAGGCTACCACTGCTTTCATAGAATCGAATAATATAGAATAATTATACCGTCGATATAAACCTGCTTTATGTGCTATTATCGAAACCACGCCCCATAACTTGGTTATGGTGTTAATAAAACTTAAATCTCAGTCAGTCCCATTAGCTATGAGAAACTAACACAATACGTATAAAACTAAACTACAGTATCAATTTCAATATGAAGCAAAAACAAATAAAACTATATATGAGTAATAGAAATAGTTTCTATGGTTCCTAATCAACCCAAAATTCATTTGAATTCTCATTACCATTTTATTATAATATACGAGTATATATATACAGATTATACCACGGTTAATCACATAACATTACAATGGCTATAATCAATTGAAAATTGGATATTCTGAACCTGACAGAAACCAACGTCCAATGATTTTTCTATAAACCAATAACGACCAACCGCAAATGAAACAATTCCATTGGGCATTTCCACGGAGCTTCGCTTCGATTACAGAAGAGTGGATATTTTCAGTAATAATTATAATGTTATTATAACTCCATTTCGAACTATGTAGCTTGCGTTGGAGTTCTGAATGAACTGTATTTATTTAAGGGTTGTGAGAAACTATTCATACATAACCGTTTAGGTTGTATTTTGATAAAGTTTTCAATAATTATCTACCACGTACTCATTACTAACTTCAAGATAATGGATATTCTGATGCCTTATAAAATTATAGATTATACAAAATATATTTATTAGACTTTTTTTTACCGGGTAAAAGAAATAAAGGGATAGTTCAGGTACAAATTATCCGTAAATTCATCATCATATATGTAGTTAAATCTAAATAAAATTTTATTGTTTTGCATGTTAAATAATTAAAAAAATGTGATATTTAATGTTCAACAACAATGAAATGAGTTTTAAAAAGGTTGTTTGAGAGTTACAGTATACTTTTTTTTAATAGGTCCAGGCAGCCCCTTCACATTATCACCTATGTTGGCGTCACTGCTCGCTATGGTAGTACTCCTCAGCGCTGCAGTGTGCGCCATCATCGTCGCTGTGTACCGAAGACATTTCGTACGACAACCTGTGAAACAGCCGCCTTCTACGTAAGTATTATATGTTAAAGCAGCTATTAATATTTCGTTAGTTGTCGCTGAAAATTTGGAGGTCCTGGCTTTAAATACAAGGGCCTAGTATTTTTTTGTTTTGACGTGAAGGGAAGAGACACACTGGGAAGTGGCCCACCTTGAAATTGGGTGAAAATTCGAATTCCTCCTGATATTTCTCTGATATCAGAGTGGACCGTGGGAGTAACGCCTTGGTTAGTTACCTTTTCCAAGGTTTTATGTATTCGTGTGCTTAGGCCAAAACAAAGATTAAAAAATCTATTGTTTAGTCCGTCTATTCATTTAAACCCAATTTTCTGATTAGACGAACCCATTTTAAGGTGACTCACTAGCGTATAGGGAATTCGGCTCAGAGTAATACAGCTTGTTTCAATTTTTATTTTTGAAGTGAAACTTCTTTAGAATCGTTGTGATTTGAAACTCGATGAAACGAAAATGCGAACAAAATGACCACATAAATATATAGGGTTAAGCTGGCGTCAGAATGAGATAGAATACATTGCCATATTGCCATGGTAACCGTTGTTATTCTCTGACAAATATTATATTCTATATTATGATTGTAATATGCCTAATAGGGTGGGTCGCTCATGTATAAAAAAAAAGTTTTGTGATTGCATTCTAATAGCAATATTTTATTGTCTTATGAGCAAACAAATAATTTTAGGTAAAAAAAAGTAAAATTAAGTTGAATCTTTAGCCCGCGCATGTGTTTCAATGTTAAAGATAATTTAAAAAAAACAAGGTAAAATCAATCCTGATTATTTAATTAAAAACCTACAATTTTTAATATAAAAATCAATATTTGTTAAAGATAAAGCACAAAAAAGAATGAAAACTCAAATATAACTTAGCTTGAAATTATAAATACATTTTAGTTATAGATGCCTCTGTCACTATTTTTACTGAGCGATCGAAATAAATAAAGAAATCAATCGAACCTATGTTTGTTGCTTAGATAATTCCTCACGTTCTTTCTTCCTTTCCGGCATATTTTTGATTTATCAATCACTTCAAGATCTGTACTTATATCGTACAATACAAAAGAAACAAGTGCAGCAGCTGCTCTGTCGGAAATACCATATCGGTCGCAGTTTTTTGACAAATTCAATTCAAATTTTTAATAGTATTACAAACATACAAAAATACAAATCTTTCCTCTTTATAATAGTAATGAAGATAGTGTAGATAAAACGTGGTATCAATTAAAAATGCTACGCTTAAGCAAAGCGAGAATAGAGAGCGAGGGTGAGGCGCTACTTATCTTAAAGAAGATTTTTCTAAAAACTATTACTAATGTTAAAAACGCAAAGTTAAGTGTAGTAACAGGACAAAATGAAACCGCGCCTTGTCTAACACCTGTCATATTCGCCTCACAGCAACGTACGTGATGTAGGTGATGTTCCTGAGATTATGTACATTATTCTGAATATTAACGGTGTTCTAGTTAAACATAAGTTTAAGATGTAGATGTATGTATTTATGTACATAATATTCAGTACCTACTTAAATTTGAAATTTAAAAGATTTTTCATATATATTTTTTTTATATTGCTTAAAACATAACATCTAACACACAACTTGACCATTATAAAAACCGGAGAATAAAAAAATAATAATTGGGAAATAAGCGCGGAATATGCGTGTTTTTTTTTTATTTTTCTATCAATCATATTTATCCAGCTCCAAAAAACTAAAATGTTGTAAAAAAATAATAAAATAAAATTATCATACCGATACGGATACTTTAAACGCCCACCATTTCGCGCGCTTGCGTGACGTCACAGTTCTATATACACAGAAAAATGACGACTCAATATTCAGCGACAAAATCGCTAATCGCTCTGTTATGATAATACTTTGACGTCATATTCGGTCTGACTATTAGCGTGTGTTTCAACTACCTTGAATTTCCCACCTATATTTGAACTTTTTAATAAAAAATATTATTTTTTTAATAAAAAAAAATAATACATTAAAAAATATTAATACAATTATAGGTTTAATTCAAAATATAAAAATAATTAAATAAAGATTTCAAACCATCACCTTTATTTTAATTACACGTATGTTCCCTATTACCTACATTAAAATATTATTGTAACTTTGTCATTAACATCATATTATATGAAATTCTTCTTTCAGTTCTTCTGAGGACAAAGGTTACTTCAAACCAGTAAAAAAAGTTTCACAGTCATTCTAATTCTTCTCTCATTTTAAGAACAATAGTTTTTATATGACGCTCAATACAAGCCCAAGGCAACAAACGTACAGCCTTGCGTCTATCAAACGTCACAGAAAATAGGCAGCAATGTACGTGATGTAATTCCGTCACATCTATTAGCTTCTGAACCTCAAATATTCTATAATACAATATACGTAACAGGAATGCTTGTAAGTCTTTATATTTTATGTAGGATATTGAAATTCGTGCTGAAATATGGAGATATTAAATACAGCGGAAAATAAATAACAATTTAAAATATTCTCAATTACGGTAAGTTTATATACGCATTGTATAGAAGTTGAGTTTAAGTGATTTGTGAACCGCTCTCGATTCGTTTAAGCTTTAATATACCTGCACAGTCACTTTATGAGTGACTTCAAAAATAAATAAATAAATATGTTGGGACATTAACACACACAGCATCATCTAGTTCCATGGTAAGCTACGTGGCCTGTGTTATGGATACCAGATAGTTGGTACACTACACATATATAACTTTAAATACATACTTATTACAATTATAAACACCCATGACTGGAGTACAAACATTCGTGCTCGTCACATAAATGAATGCCCCCAGTGGGACTCGAACCCGCGACCGCTGGCACAGCAAGGAGGGTAACTACAAACTGAGCCAACTGGCTAAAATTGAAGCTGGAAGAGGTTGGTATAGTAACGATTTTTTTCTTGTTAACAGAAATGCTCTGTATACGGAAGATAGTGTGGATTCATTTCCCAAAAGAGACAATCTCTCATCCTACACAGCATCCCCCAAAGTTGACTACAGCAGTCAGTACGAACTGAAGATGGAAGCAGAGGAAGATGATCCGGATATCATACCCGTACAATTTGGTGAGATATTATATTACGTAGGTTTTGAGTCTATCAGTTGACTAGCTTCTGCCCGCAGCTCCACTCGCGTAGTTTGTTTCCTCAGATCCTACATTCAAAGATTTTTTAAATTGAAGTGGTCATTTCAGAGTTTCAAACAAAAAAAACGAACAATCTGAACAGCTCCAAAATATTAGTATATTTAAAGAGTGTAAGTATATCTACCTACTAGAACTTTCTTCAATTGTGGCTCTATAAAAATTCACTAATTTGAAAATCGAAGCCGTGACCTCCCGCTTTATAAAATAAACTAGTTTAATACTCCTCTCGTATGTTTTAACGAGATTTTTATTTGCGGATATAGTACTTAGACAAGAAAGGTATATTTTTTATTCTGCAAAAGAAATACCCACGAGATAAATAATCAGACCATATTATATTATAAAAGGAAAGTTTGTATGTGGATTGTGTACGTTTGTTACTATTTCACGCTAAAACAGCAAGATGGATTTGTATGATATTTATTATATATCTATGAAAAGAGTAACGCTACTATTAGGCACTTATAGTCGCGTCAATGATATCTTTTCCTCGGATTTTCCTCGGAAACTGATTTTTTTATATAGATTTCATACATATTGTTTTAACAATATTAATAAGTAATTATGTGCGCTTTAAATTTTTTTAATAATATACAAAAACTACAATTTTATAAAAAAAACATATAAATCGGAGCTGTTCTTGAGGATTTACGAAGATAGCCGGTTTTTCGTATTCATTGATTAGGGATGGATTCAACCGAAGCGAGGGTAAGTCGCTAGTTATAGTTAAACACATATTTACGGACAAACAAAAACAAATCTATCCCACGGGAACCGTACATTTTCCGGAATAAAAAGTAGCCTATTTTGTTATTCTGATGTATGAACTATATTATTGTAAAGTTTTATTATAATGTAATCAGTAGTTTTTGTGTAATAAGCTATATAATTTACTATAGTTTTTTAACTATCCCACGAGAACTATTCAATTTTCCGGGATGAAAAGTATCTTAAATGTTGACGGGGGATATAAAGTATCACCATGCAAAATTTCATTTAAATCGGTTCAACAGTTTCGGAGATTAGCCCGTACAAACAGACAGAGAAACAAAATGAAAAAAATCTGAATTTGTTCTATTTCTCTTATTACATCCACCTGGCTCGGTTTTTAGATTTTTTTTTCTATGTACAGACATTCGACCTCCACAGTTTTATTATATGTATAAATTTTAGCGACATTTCAAATGGCCAGATTTGAACCCAGTAGACCGGGAATGAAGGTAGAATATTAATGTTCTACTCTGCATCGACAACGATAGTTATATATGTACATACGAATCATATCAATACCAGCAAATTCCTAGAACAGTTTGTCAGTTGTTTGGTTTGTGATTCGCGAATATCTAATTGTATAGCTAAGTATTATAATTAATTATCCAATTAGGAGGTCTGGTGAAAGTAATGGATACGTAAATCTGAAATTCAAATATTATTCAGGTATATTAACTGTGCTTGCTTTTCATGACTGAACTGATTTTAATGAATTATAATATTAAGTTTGTAGTGTCTTTGTATTACAAACTAGCGACTCAGCCTCGCTCTGCTCGGGCTCGTCCCTACTTACGTTTTAACGTGTAGTATAGATTTCTCAGCGATGATATATTTTCTCGTCGTAAAAAGTATCCTATATGTTGACCCGGATAAGCAGCTACCATCATACCAAACATCAAAAACCCTCCAGTGATTTTTCAGTCATGCGGTAACAGACAGACAGACAAAAATTCTAAAAACTATAGATTCGGCCTCTATATCGATAATAATGTCTATTTCAATAAGATTTTCCAAAAAAATATTTAATGTACAGATTCGGCTTAGTTACAATTTTATTATATGTATAGATTTGGCGGTTCACTTCCTTTACATGTATGTAGATAATATATATTGCTTTCAAAGTATTTATTTTTTGTTTTAGATTTTATTTTGTTATTATTGTTCGCTCTTTCTTATATATTATGCGTATTTCATATAAAACCCATCAGCCCCATAAGTAAAATTTGGTAAAAATTATTGTATAGATAATCGTAGCTTGTTTATACAAGCAAGTAATACGACTTTGTTTTAGAATATTTATATGTAAAAAATAATTAGTACTTATAATAAAAAGTAAAATAAATAATACCTAACAAAACCAGGTTGAGTCGCTAATGCAAATTATATATATATATATATATATATATATATATATATATATATATATATATATATATATATATATATATATGATGATGTTCTCCTAGCCGATTCCGGCCACGGCGGCCAATCTCAATGAGATTAGCCAACTGCGCAGGAGATATTATAGTGCTCAAGTGTACGCGCAGACACAAGTGCACTCTCTATTCCTATCACTCTCATACTCCGGTGGGACGACCACTCGACACGACCGGTGAGAGTTAAGGCGCAGGACCGACGGCTTTACGTGCTCTCCGAGGCACGGGGGTGAAACACCGCCAACTTCCCTACTCCGGGCTGTTACTGAGACTTACTATACAGGAAGACTCAATAACTAAACTTGGCCCGACCCGGGACTCGAACCCAGGACCTCCGGGTGTGCAGCCGTACATGCTAGCCACTACACCACCGAGGCAGTATATATACAAAGTAAATATATATATATAATATCAGGATTTTTTCGTGAAGCATAACACAATGTGATTCATCTAAAACAGAGTTTTATTTAAGTAAATACAGATAAATTTTACATAACCAATATCAACTAATGAAATACTAACCTAAAACAGAGAATCGACAATTAAATGTTCATGCTTTACTATTTTTATTATTAAAACTTAAATCGTCTTTTGCACTTTTAAATTAAATCAAATTCACAAACATAACTTAGTTTTAATGTAATTATTAAACAACATTTGTAATTTAACTATACGTTATTATTCGATTGGAAAAAGAAACCTGACACTCTAATGTCAATGTCAGTGTCAACACAAAGCTTACATCACCCTCCTTCGAAAAGTAAATTTTTTTCAACTTAAGTTGAGTAAAATTTAGCTACAAAATCTAAAAATCAACAAGCATAGGAATGAGCTTTGTGACATGATATAGTCCAATAGATCTTGTACCACGACCAGTATTTATTTTAAAAACTGAATCCGATATCTTTTTTTCAATCTCAAAGGGACCAATTCTGATTTCATCCATCTTTTTTTGTTTAATCTGTTTCCATAATCAACATATACCTTATCTCCTTTTTTAAATTCATGTTGAACTCTATTCTTGGCAAATAAATTTTTATTATATTCATGCGATTTTATTGACCTTCGGAGTGCTATTTTCCTGTCTTCTTCTAAATTTTTTGTTAATAACTGTTTTTCTTTTAATTCATGTGGTAACAAGTCTGTAGACTCGCCAGATAGCAAATACCTAGGAGAAAATCCTGTTACAGAATGATTTGTTTCATTGTATCTATTTCTACATTCTTCTGCTATTTTTGACCAATTTGTTTTTCCTTTTGATTCATTAATTTTGCATCTTATTTTATTCACAATAGTCTGGTTTAGCCTTTCGTTTAAACCGTTTGAGAACGGTGCGTCTACCGCTGTAAAAATTAATTGAATATTTCGGTTCTTAAGGTAATTTTTGAATTCAATCGAATTAATAGCTGGATATTGATCAGAGAGTAAGATGTCTATTGTTTCTTCCTTAGGAATTTTTTTCTATAAGTTTGATGAAGTCACGAGCATGTTCATTCTTAGAACATAGGATATATGCGTACCTAGTGAAATGGTCTACTAGTAGATGTAAATATCTTTTTGTTGATCTTCGACTCCCGAATCCTCCTATTGTGTCCAGTGACATTATTTGAAAGGGTTTATTGGCTGGGCCTAATTGCGACATAAAGCCATATTTTCTATTTAGCCTTGTTTTATTTTTTATGCATATCTCACAGTTTTTGCATATATATTTAATATTTTCTGATAGATTTGGTGCAGTATAAAAGGGTTTTATTTTAGATTCTGTTTGATTTATTCCAGTATGACAATATTTTTCATGGGTCTTCCTTATTATAGTTTTACTGTAATCTTCACTTAGAACTATTTTTTTCCTATTTTTTCCACTTTTTTTATAATAAATTCCATCTTCTAAAATCATGTTTTTTTCTAGTTTTTTTATTTGCAAATTTTGTGCTTGATCATATTTTATGTCATGAATATCAATAATATTTACTGTTCTTAAGTTATCTTCATTATTTGCATCAATGTCCAATACTGGGTTTCGGCTGAGACAATCTGCTTCAGTGTTATTTTTTCCTGGAAAATATTTAATTTCACAATTATATTGTGACAGATAATGTGACATATCGCCTAATTCATCGTCAGGTCTGTTTCTTATATTTAACTTCTCTAGAGGTTTGTGATCTGTATAGACAGTAAAATGGTTTCCAATCAACCAATGTTGCCAAAACTTTATGCTCTCTTTTATGGCTAAACATTCTAAAAATATCGCTTTTTTATTTTTTTGTGATTCATTTATTTTTTTAGAAAAATATGCTACCGGTTTTTCTTCGCCATTGTGCTGAATTTGTTTCAAAACTGCTCCTATTCCTATGGCACTGGCATCAGTATAAATAAATATTGGTGCTTTTGGATCATAAATGGCTAGTATTGGTTTGGAACATAGAAAATCTTTAACTTTCCGGAATGCATCCTCACACTGTTCTGTCCAATTAAATCTCTGATCTTTTCTCAGCAATTTATGTAAAGGGTCAAGAACTATTGAGACATTCGGAATGTATTTTCCATAAAAATTTATTTTTCCTAAAAATTGTCGTATTTGTCTTCTATTTTGAGGAGCAGGGAAATCTTTTATTGATTTTAAATTGTCTTTTAGAGGTGTAATCGTATTCTTTTGTAATATATGACCTAAATACCTAACAGAATCACATGCAAACTTACATTTTGTTAATTTTAGCCTAAAACCTTCTTCTCGAATAGCCTCCAGCAATTTTTTTAAGTGTGTGATATGTTCATCAAATGTTTTAGAGAAGATCAGTATATCATCAATAAAATTCACTGCAAATCCTGTCAGACCATTTTTTCTTATAATATTTCCTAGAATCCGTTGAAATATAGCTGGTGATGTCTTAAGGCCGAAGGGTAAACAGGTCCATTGGTAATGACCTTCTTGAGTTACAAAACCAGTTTTGTATCGGTCTGTAATTTTTAAAGGAATAGACCAAAAAGCTGAATTTATATCCAGAGTTGTAAAATAATTACAATTTATTGTTTTTGTTATTAAGTCTTCTATGAGTGGAAATGGTTGTGACTGAGGTATAATTATTTTATTTAAATCTCTGAAGTCTATGCATAATCTACTTTTTTTTCCTTCGTCCCTTTTAAAAGCTAAGGTAACAGGTGCTGCAAACGGACTGTAAGATTCTTCGATCAATTCATGTTTTAAAAGTTGTGAGATTTGATTTTCTATTTCTATCTTGTCTTGGACTGAAAATCTGTATGGTCTTTTATAACAATATTTTTCAACTTGTAAATCTATACAAGCTTCATACTTCTTCACTTTTCCAGTGTCATATTTATTTTTCGCAAAAATTTCCATATAACTATCCAATAATATGTTTATCTGTTTTTTTTGATCAGTATTTAAGTATTCTGTATCTATATTAAATTTGTTTGTATCTATACCTTCATTAAAGTTTACTGCATATTCTTTTTCTTCTATATTTATTTCCATATTCTCAATCTGTTTATCTTCAAACATATTTTTACTACTTATTTTGAAATTGTCTGTTTTTTGTATTTGGATATTTAAATTCTCATCATGAGTCAACCCAAATTTCTGTATTGAATCTAATCCTAATATTAGATCATACTCAAAATTTTCATTTTCAAAGATAAATGCATTTATTTTTATCTTCTTATGCAATAACTCCGCATCTAGTGTAATTAACCGTTTAGTTTTACCTCCTCCACTTATTGTTTTTATAGTGTTATTACAATAATTTGGCTTCATATTTGTAACTTGAACCAGTTTTGAATTTATTAATGTTATTCGTGAACCAGGGTCATACAGTCCCTTGGCTTCTAATGTATTATTTAACATCACTGTAATCTCAATTAGTGGAGGGAATTTTAGTTTTTTGGATCTTCATTACTCAGTTCAACTTTTAATATTGAATTAGAATTTAGGTTTTTGTCATCTGTTATTTTTTTTCCATAGTTATACCAGCAAATATTCTCTGGATGAAATCTATTTAATTTTCCTTTATTCTCACAAATCCTGCATGATTTTTTTTCAGTTTGTTTTATTTCTTGTTTATTGTATTTATTTCCTGTGGTTAAGTTTTTCTTTGTGTCATTTTTCCTCGTTAAACTTTCTAGTCCTCTTATGCAGTTATACAAGTCATTTACTTCTTTAAGGCTTTCTCTATCTATTCTATCCATTATGAAGTTTGGTAGACCGGTGGCAATCAAATAAATCATGGTCTGTGTATCTATTGATTTGTTTATTTCTAGTAACAATCTCTCTTTTTTGAGAGCATATTCTAACATTGATCCTTGTATATATTTAAAATTCATAGCGTACCTGATTGGCGACCAGCCTTTATCAGCAAATGTTTCACTTAAACTTTTCTTCCAAACAGACCAATCTGAATCTATAGTATGTTTAATAATCATTGAGGTGTACCAATCTATACAAGTATCTTCCAATAATAATCTTAGAATTTCTACTTTTTGTAAATCTGTATCTATTTGTAAACGTGTACATTCACTTTCAAAAGTATTTAACCATTGTTTAACATTTGTTGTATTTCTTGAAAACTTCTCTATTGAAAATTCTGTTACTAATCTCGTCTTATTTTCTGTTTTTTTTAATAATGTTGGTTCTGTTGATGACAACTCATGACTTTGTTCTAATTTTTCAAGTAAAAACCCATCAAATTGTAAGTTGTCATCATCTAAATATGTTGATTTCATTTCCTTGGTTAATGTTATCCAAACCTGTCTCTTATCATGCCTTTTCTGGAGAGATTTTTTTATTTTGTCAAATATTTCATGCTTTAATATTTCTTTGTGTAAATGCACTGATTGATACTCCCTAGGCACAACAAAAGTTTGGTTTTGTGTATCCATAATGGAGGTTATGGCATACATATTTGTCTTATTATCATCCGGTTTGGCTTTTATCATAAATTCAAATCTTAATTTCTCCATTGTATAGGTTAACAATTATTTATTTTTATTTTTTTTTTCACATGTATATGAATTGTCGATTTATAATATCAGGATTTTTTCGTGAAGCATAACACAATGTGATTCATCTAAAACAGAGTTTTATTTAAGTAAATACAGATAAATTTTACATAACCAATATCAACTAATGAAATACTAACCTAAAACAGAGAATCGACAATTAAATGTTCATGCTTTACTATTTTTATTATTAAAACTTAAATCGTCTTTTGCACTTTTAAATTAAATCAAATTCACAAACATAACTTAGTTTTAATGTAATTATTAAACAACATTTGTAATTTAACTATACGTTATTATTCGATTGGAAAAAGAAACCTGACACTCTAATGTCAATGTCAGTGTCAACACAAAGCTTACATATATATATATATATATATATATATATTTATATGTAAAAAATAATTATATATATATTTACTTTGTATATATATATACAAAGTAAAAAAGTATAATATATCATGGAATGAATTTTGCTTGAGGCTATAAGATGAAAAATTCGTACTGACTTTTCACAATACAACAACAAAACTTACAACTACTATTCATTATTATTGTTTCAGTATTTTTAAATAACATAAGACCGAGGCCATACTTTTGGCTTACTCATACTTAAAATATCCTTCTGTATGGAATTTTGATTTATTTAAAATATCTTCATAAGCAATACGAGTATTTTCATCTTAGAGGATTCAAATCCGCGTTTTTTCTCTCCCATGGTCACTGTTACCGATGGTTCTTAGGCACCTACGAACCAATACGTACTCAAACACGTAACACGTGAAATGCGTACGTAAATATAGTGGACTTAATAAATATTTTTGTTTCAGATAAAAAACCAATAGATGAGTATAGCAAGCCCAAATTAGGTTTGGAAGGCGATGCTACTAGGATGTATAGTGACCAATCTGTAATCTTGCCGAACAGCGGCGTAAGTAATATTGGATTTCTTAACTATATTTTGATTAAAAATAAATAAGCACAAATCGAATGACTCATAAAAATAATTTAAATTTATTTAATAAGCGAAATAGTATACCAACTATAAATTAATTACTTTAAAAGTATTAAATTAGAATTTTATATTCATTAAAAATAACATTGATACACAAAAACTCAACATACGCAATTAAAGTCGTTTCAAAAGTGTCCTCAAAAAGAAGTGCACCATTCAACATTGAATTGCGTTCATTGCTTTTCGGATGACAAATTTAAAACGCACGTTGTTTCGTAAAAAAAGTACTTTATGTGGTGTACGTAAGTTCGAATTTATGTTTAGATAATTAGAACTTTCAATTCTTAAAATATATTCTTTGATTTGATATAACGTTACATATCGACGCCACTTTTTGAAGACATATATTATGTTAGGAAATGTGTATCTATGTCTTTATATGTCAATGAAAAATAATAAAAATAAAAATTGATTCAAGAAACGCTACAAAATTACAACCTTTGAGTTTGTTTGAGTCAAAAATTGACTCTTGATCGTGACTCGATTGATGGAAATCAATCATTATTTTCAGATTGATCTCCCAAAGTGACATTTCTCTCTTGATATCTGGCAATTTTTTGGTATAATTTATTAAAAAAATATCAAAAAAAATCGATAAAGTAATAATGGTTGTAGTAGTAGTGATATAAGATAGTAAAAAGAATACACATGAAATAATACAGACGGACGTACAATCACTTTTGTATGAAATCGGTCAAAAAGGGTAGTATCTAGTAATAATAAAACTGTACTGCATTCGTATAATTTTTATTTTATTCATCACTTAACATGCCTCTGGCATTAACAAAGATTGCTGCCTACCATAATATCACGGTTCGAGAGACTTACACATGAATAAAATTAATTGCATAATCGATTGATATGATTTTTTATGATTTCTGTCTGTTTATATTATTTATACTTCTACTTATAATTGTATAGATATATTTTATATTTTTTCTTCGTAACAGAGTATTTCTTTCGTCAATCGAGGCGTAACGGCGCGAAGTGTGGACATATCGGCCTCAAGGCTAGAAGTGGTCACCGCTTCGCGTAAAGTGAGAGAGTCCTGCATATAGGAGCTATCCACTCACATGTAGATAGTGAATTGACTTTGAAAATTAAATTAACATAAGATGTTATAATTTGATGTTAAATTATAAGTTTTATTAGATCAAAGGCAAAATGGAATTTACTTGAAGTATTACGACTACAGAGTTATAAAAGCGAGATATCAGCATTCAAAATTGCTCATAATTAGTCTATTTTAAAGTTTTATTTCATAACATTAATAATTCTTAACAGACTTTGATAGAAGGAGCATAGTGTGTTATGAATGTTTGTAAATATGTATGTATGTCTTTTTCTTTGTTAAAAGCTAAATTAAACGTTTTCATAACATTTTTGCTTTAATGTACCAATGGGTGTATAATTTTGGAAGGTCTAGTACAGACCGATATATTATGTACTTCATAATAGGTATGAAACGGGTACTGTCTATACACACGAGAAACATGACTATCATATATTTCATAGTGCATTTGATTTTATTAATAACACTATTATAATTTATTTTTTATGTAAAACTGACCCATCTCAAGCCAAGACGTCATACTCTCATTTATAATTTCAATGTACAGTCGCTTAGATTTTATTTACATACATATTTTGAGCTGACAAATAATTTATATATGTACATGTTTTAGTTAAAATTGAAAGTAAATGAATGAATGTTTTAAGACTAATGACCACAGGACTGTTTAACGTATGTTTAAAGTTCCTTAGGTATAAATCATGAATTATTTATGAATAAATTCTATGCAATTCTTCAACTGTTTAAGAATATTTGAAATTTATAACTTAAAAAAATATAAAAAGCAGTCATAAGGGCTGAAAGGTAAGAAAGGTAAGAAGTGAAAACTTAAAACTATAAACAAACAGTTGTTATTTTTGGATATTCAAATTATTTGTTTGATCTTAAATTAAAATTTGTAAATTTAAACTGTTTACATCTATCTGGTTTTGACATCTATCGGCACTCTTAGCTTAACTGTTAGCTTTAACACGTCACGTGACCATGTCGATGACGACTTACATGAATTTACTGCCTATCTAAACCTGTCTATAGAAGTTTTCACTTCTAAAAATACAAACCTAAACATATGAGAAAATCTGGTGTCAAACACCAAGACAAAGAAATGGAGATGATCATGTATAGTTAACTTATGTCATATTTAGAGAACGAAAGTGTGTTTTTATGTAATGGGACTAGTAATAAAAATGCGAAAATTTGTATGTATGTTCGTTTGTTATTGCTTCAAGCTGAAACGACTGAAGGGATTTTGATGAAATTTAGTAAACGAATACACTATGATATGAAGTAAAATATCTGTTATTTATAATATGTATGTATTTATAGTTATATATGTGTAATGCATCAATTTTCTGGTATCCATAACACAAGCCTCGTAGCTTACCATGGAACTAGATGGTACTGTGTGTTAATGTCAAGCAATCATTGCAATATCAAGTTATGAAATGTTCTCTATATAAAAGTAAGCTCAAATAATTAAAAGTTTAAATGTTTTATTTTAGCGAATGAATGTTTATATTGATATTATTGTTATTTGTGTAAATGTGTGAAAAATATAATATTTTTTTATTATTAAGTTTTTAGTTCGCAAAAAAAATTTTTTTACTTTACATTCAAATTAATAGCCTACGAGTTATTTCTAGAAAAAACCCTACGGTGCTTTTATTATTATTATTTTTTACAAATATCAAAAATTAAAAATAATTTTCTTACTTTTTTCCATTTTACAACATTACAATTTCAAAGCTATGAAGTAATAAGTACAAGTAAATTATAATATACCTAAAATTGTCCCGTGATATTGTTAGAAAAGGAGACATTGACAAAACTCAGGGTAACCGGTTTCACTTGTGAAATTATAATTTAACGGTTTTTACAAAATTCCCTGCGACATATACATAAAAAAGGTCACTGAGTTATGTTAAAAAAATATACTTGCAGCTTACGATACTTTGGCTCGCACTGGAATCGAACTGACATCTAGTAAATATACCAAATAGTTTCAGACACCCCACCACGCTATGTGGCTCTTATTATACTATATTTTGTAATCATTTGCATATTATGCCAATATCTTTACGTTAAGTACAGTAGGGTGGACATTATAAGTGGATGGGTGACCGGTCAATTGTAGGCTAGGTTAATTAGTTAATAAATCATTTTTTTTTTGTATTTCTAGGATATCGATTATGAAATTTTCAGTATGTATTTCATTCATTGATTCAGGATTCAGGTAAGTGTATTACATACATAATATTATTTAAATAAAGATTTTATTAATAAAAGCAGTTTTACAGTTATTTTGAGAAAATGTGTTAAAACAGTGTGTATTTAAAAGATGAATTTATTAAGAAATTAACAGCTATGTTTCTATAAAACTTTCTTAGATTTACGCGAATATTTGACATTTTAAATAAAACTATCTTTTCGGATTATTTTGGGGATTTATTTTGATTTTTAGTTCCCGACGTTTTGAATACTTTACAGCAGTTATGTTAACGGGAGGGACTAAGATTTTAGAGGTCGTAGTTTGTATGAAAATTCCCTCGATTTCTCCTAATGAAATAAACTTTGTATAATAATAATGAATATTATATACAAAACCTATTCTTTTTAAAATACGTTATTAGAGTTACAGGGAAACGCTAGTCAAAGATGAAGCTTGTTAGTTATGCAGCACGCTTAGTTCAGTTTGTAATGACCCTACTTGCTGTGCCAAAGGCCGCGGATTCGAGTCCCGCTGGGGGCATTCATTTGTGTGATGAGCACAAATGTTTGTACTCCAGTAATGGGTGTTAATAATTATAATATGTATTTATTTAAAGTTATATATGTGTAGTGTATCAAAAATCTGGTGAAACAAGCCTCGTAGTTTCCCATAGAACTAGATAGGGTTATGTGTGTTAACATTCCAACATATTTATTTATTATTTATATATAACATTTGAAAATTTTCATGGCTTATCAAATTTCCCAATTTCCCCAATCGTTTGTTTAATATGTAATTTGAAATGTAATCACGACCATCTTTTTTCAACTTACATGACATTCACTTATATTAAGGAAAGAAAAACTTAAAACAACTCAGATTGCAAGAAAGTTTGTTGAGATTACACTTTACAGTATTTGCTTTGAAAAATCTACGGATGTAGAAGTCGGAAATAGCTTTTCAGAATTTAAATAATTTACAAGATATACTCGTATTATAGTATAAAAAATATACATATAAATAATATTAAAATCTTCAAAATAACAACATTATTTTATAAGTTATAGTTTATTAAACTGAAAAATTTATATCCTTCGATTATTTAATGAAAATTGTCGTAATCGATACCAATAGTTGTATATTACGGTAATCGAATCCGCGATATCGATAACAGATTTACTCTATCAATTTTAACCTACCTACCTATATTCTATTTTAAGTAGGTCATGATAATTAATTAAAAACACATTGATGCGCACTACGATCCTATGCACAAAGCTAACCGCAGATTTAGCTACTGCATGTACATAATAAACACTGACCGCCAAATATACCAGAGACTTTGTGGTTCTACCGTTTATTGATATCTGGATTCACTGGCATTACTAGTATTTTTACCGATTTAAAAAAATGGAAGAGGCGTGATTTTGAAATGTGAAACTGATTTTGTATGTATTTCTTTTTGGAAATATTAAATGAAGTTTCAATATTCTCAAATCCGCCATTTTGATTTTTAAAATTATTCATAATTTAGCTTATAAAATTTGCGACGTAATAGGAATCATTAAAATCGGTTAAGCCGTTTAATAATTACGAGGAAACATACGAGACATACGTACGCAAGTACATAGATATACATAAATGGTCAAAAACATACATACTTTGGGCTTCGCCGCTGTCGGTTAAAAAGAGCAACTGTCGAGTTTCTCGCCGGCTTTTCTCAGCAGAACTGCCTTCCTTACGGCCATACATACTGACATTTAATTTAAATTTAAAAAGTGCTTTTAAAAAACCTTTTATATATCAAGATGTAGTTAATATCTTGATTTCATTTTTTGTGAATGTTACACGATAATTTTACTAAATATGAAATGATAGCCTTATATTAATTTCAATATTTAAGAATTTATTCCCGAATAGCTAAATTACTTTGTAAATTTTGAACTCCATTAAAATTAATTATAACTCATCAATACAAAAAAATTGATGTACTCTATACAATAAATACATAATAGACGCTTTGTATGCCTTTTTACTGCCACGTTCTGTCGAATTTTGCTGGGTATAGGAAAAGCTCTTTACCCTTTAAAGCTTTTCAGGGTACCTAAGCACATAAGCTATTTGAAAATAGTTTAAACGGATATAAAAGATTTGTATAGAAAAATTATTTTACTAAAACGCAGAAATTTGGTATTTAATATAATTTCTATGTAAATCAAAGTCATTGTATATCTATGCTATTATCTATCTATATTCTATAGGTACATATAATTAAAATTCTAACTGAATCGAATCTGTATATTAAAAATTTTTTGGAAAATCTATTTGAAATAGTCATTATTATCGATACAGAGGCCGAATCTATAGTTTTTACAATCTTTGTCTGTCTGTCTGCTTGTCTGCCTGGCAACGCATCACGGGAAAACGACTGGACAGATTTTGATGAAATTTAGTTTGATGATTAGTGGTTATCCGGGTCAACATATATGATACTTGTTACTGCGGTACATAAAATATGCGGTAACTAGAAAAATATCTCATCTCTGAGAAATCTAGCTAGCTAAAAGTTAAAGCATAGCGTAAAGTAATTATTATAAAGATAGGAAAATCGTTTAAGCACTGTCTTATAGTTTTATTCCATTTCTTTCAACTAACTACAATATTTTCTAAAAACTTACACAGTACTCGTAGTTTGAAAATTTTCTTTATGTAAGATAAAATTTTAATTCTCAAAATAACTGTAAAACTTTATTTATGTACAGTACATATATAAG